GGAGAGAGAGAGAGAGAGAGAGAGAGAGGGGGGGGAGGGACAGAGAGAGAGAGAGGGAGGGACAGAGAGAGAGAGAAGGAGGGACAGAGAGAGAGAGAGAAGGAGAGGGACTGAGAGAGAGACAGAGAGAGAGAGAGGGAGGGAGGGACACAGAGAGAGAGACAGACAGACAGAGAAAGAGAGTTAGGGACAGAGAGAGAGAGAGAGAGGGGGGAAGGGACTGAGAGAGAGAGAGGGGGAGGGAGGGACAGAGAGAGAGAGAGACAGACAGACAGACAGAGAGAGAGAGACAGAGGGAGAGAGAGAGGGAGGGACAGAGGGAGACAGAGTTTATGGAGTAGTGGTGTATCAGCACATACTACATGTGTTTATGTCTTTTCTTGTAGTGTGTGTACGTGACTTGATCTGTGTAACTTCCACTACCATTGTATACGACCGAGACAAATTTCTCCCTGCGTGGTGAATAAAGATTGTTATTGTCATTTTTGTTGGTGTTGATTTTATTTTCATTTTTATTGTCATTATCATCGTTATAAGTCATTGTTGTTGTGGGGGTTCTCGTGGTCTAAATGTACATTGTTCTCCTCTCATTCAATAGGTCCCAGGTTCAAAACCTGACGGCAACGGGGAAAAAATGTTACTCTCTAAAATGTTCTCCTGTCACCTCTCTCCATGCTTTCTAATCGCATTCTGGCCTCTGCTTTCATTTCCATTTTCTTATTGACATCTTTATGTTATTGTTATTGTCACTATCATGTTATTGTTATTTGTCCATATCATGTTATTGTTATTGTCTCTATCATGTTATTGTTATTGTCCCTATCATGTTATTGTTATTGTCACTATCATGTTTTTGTTATTGTCACTATCATGTTTTTGTTATTGTCACTATCATGTTATTGTTATTGTTATTGTCACTATCATGTTATTGTTATTGTCCCTATCATGTTATTGTTATTGTCCCTATCATGTTATTGTTATTGTCACTATCATGTTATTGTTATTGTCACTATCATGTTATTGTTATAGTCATTTTCGTGTTATTGGTATTGTCATCATTATGCTATTTTCACAACACAACACATAACACGTGTGTGCTAAAAAATACTAGTCCAGCAAAAGTTCAGAGCGTTTTTAAACAGCCCACATTATAATGCTCACTACAATGTTTATTCCGCATTTGGTAAGAGTTTTTACGACACCGGCAACTGTATAAGGCGATGCATGTACAATGTATTCACATTATGAGGGCGGTGTTTTATTTCACATCGCTGAACAAAGATGGAAAGAAATTTTTGTAAAGTGCAAATTCCCGCTCAACAGAAAGCTCTATGCGCTTAATTATC